TAAAAACACCAGCAACATGACACGGGTGACCTTCTGCCTCAGTTCTGAGGGAGGATTTTACCTCAGTTTTTTTTTTTAATTCTTAATTTGGGATTAAATTTGGTGACATCTTTGGTGACATTTTACGCTGAGTTTGGATTCAGGTTCACTCTGATAGTTCTAGAGAATATCCCGTATCCCAAACTCCTGTTGCATAACCAGCATCTTCACATTGTTTCAATATAATCCAGCATTAAAGAAAAATCCATTCCGTACAGCATCAACAACTATTTTAAAATTAGAATGGATTGTCTTGGTATGAAGCCTGAAACATGGCCATGCATTTCAGAAGGGTGCTTAGAGGTAGGCTACATAGATTACTTTGTCCTATTTTCATAACTGAAAGGATGTCATGGCAACAGACTATGAATTCAGACTGAATAATTCCACACAATTTGGCCTGTATGTTATGAGGTTTAATTTCATGAATTACTATTAAAAATAAATAAATAAAAACACCAGCAACATGACACGGGTGACCTTCTGCCTCAGTTCTGAGGGAGGATTTTACCTCAGTTTTTTTTTTTAATTCTTAATTTGGGATTAAATTTGGTGACATCTTTGGTGACATTTTACGCTGAGTTTGGATTCAGGTTCACTCTGATAGTTCTAGAGAATATCCCATTCCGTACAGCATCAACAACTATTTTAAAATTAGAATGGATTGTCTTGGTATGAAGCCCGAAACATGGCCATGCATTTCAGAAGGGTGCTTAGAGGTAGGCTACATAGATTACTTTTACTACAGTAATCTGTTTTCAGAATGTTTAAATGAGCACGCCACCTAGTCATAAATTCAGATTACTGTAGCAGGTGAGGGATGCCAGAAAAAGTTAATGCTGGAGTTACAGGTTAAAGGCTTGTAGAAAGGAAGAGAACACGCAGAAGCCAACACAGTTGACCCGGAAGAAGACCTTTACCTGTCTAAATATGAATTTATTTCTCGGTCAAAAGAAGATCACATAGTTTTGGTCGACACTGTCTCCTGGCTGGTAACACTTTGACGGTGCGCCCCAGAATGACACTGGGTTAAGTGCTCCCATAAAGACCCATATGTTTCCTACATGTTCTCATTCAGGATTCCCACATGTAACATAAGTTGCTCATGCCCGACTTCCATAGCGACTTGGTCAGAATCCATAATACACCTTCAATTCAATTTCCTTCAAAAACGTGGCTCAGAGTGGGGTGGGGGGTGCTTAATGACTACACGAGAGGCCCAATTTAGTCATCATAGGTTGCTTCCTGTGAAGGTCCCGTCTACAGTCTGCATGGGTTTCAATCTGGTTTCATCAGTGTTGCATGAGAACAAAAAAAGTCTGTTCGAAGCAATTTTGCTAGTCATTTACATGACTACTTCCTCCACCAGTTTATCGGCCAAGCTTTCGATCCCATCTGGACAACATTTGTCAGCTGAGGATTTGTGTACGCATCACATCAGGTATAAATCAAATGTTTTGAAATTCGAAAGTAACGGACGAAAGAGCAACAAAGAAAAATCCAAGATTCGTGAGAATAATTGAATGTGAATTCACATCAGCTTTGTTCCAAAAATATGTAAAAAAAAAAAAAAAAAAAAAAAAAAGAGCGAGAGAGAAAAATTAACCAGATCTTTGATTCATATTAGGCCTCCTATTAGCAACAGATGAAGCTGGCTGCTAAAACGAGTGGCGTTTGGATGTGGAAATGATATGTGTAAACTATGTAATGCGAATGTTTTAGCTAAGCTGTGTTTAATTTTGTACCCTGATGAAGTGCATGAGAAACCTGTATCCCCTTAGCTGTCTCATTGAATCATATGGATATAATTTCATCCATTTACGTTTTTCTGCTCTTTGCTGTGGTTGCCAGGGGGCATTTGGAAACAGGCAGATTAAAGGCACATGTTCGCATTCGCCTGTAGTTTTTAGCCACTCCGTCTGAGCTCCGCTGTTCTCCGTGCCGAAAGACGTGTTGGCGGTTTCTTTTTTACAGGTCACAGTTACTCCAGGCGCTCAGCGGTAAACCTCGTAACACCTCTCGTTCTCCAACAGGAACCTGAATCGATTTCGTACAAGTGCTGATCACAGAACATCGCCATAACCCGCAGACATTGCATATCTGAGAGCGCTGAGGCAATTTGGATGTCACAACGAATTACAGAAAATGTGTCTGGGTGTAAGAAAAGTCATGGTGCTCATTAAAATTTGCCTTTCAGCCAACTAATTACGAGTAATAATGTATTTAATGCTTGTTAGTTGCTAAAGGTTTTAATGTCAGAATAAACGCAAGCCTGCGGGAAGGTGAGATTGGTAGTTACAGTATAATGGGGAAATATGTTTTATGTTTCAGAGCACCTCTTAATGTTAACGGGAACAGCGGTGGACCTTTGACTCCATGGGAAAGAATGTGGCCTGAGTGCAATTTCCATAATAAGCACATTTTCTCTTCCTCTCAGTTCATTTCATTCCATCAGAGCGCAGTGCGACGTCAATAAGCGGCACGACGTGGCCTTATTTTTACGTGTGCCATAATGGCTGGCTTGTATTCTACAGGTATTTAAGGGTATTAATGAACTGTTTTTTCTTCCGAGTGCTTGTGTACACTATGGGCTTTTAGCTGCCCGATGCCTCGTTGGACGTTTTCGGCCGCAATCATGCTTCATTTCCCATATAGTCATCAGGTTAGGGTTTGCGTGGCCCGCAATCATCCGTGATTGGCTGTGCGCCCCTGACAAAAATGTCAGCCCAAACTGTCACTCTGTGTGTATACAGCAGATCCTGAGGCCCACTTCGGAAAGATGGCGTCAAATGACTTACCACCATCCACTTTCAACGGTTATCACTCTGTTTACCCTCACACAGGCCTTCAGAGGGGAAAGCTAAACACGTTTATGGCAATTAATGTGATTAGCATGCTAAACTGTTTTTACAGATAAAATCAAAGGGTTGTGGAGACTTAGGAGCTGTCATAGTTGGTTTATAGCGGTTGGTTTAAAATGCAACGTATATTTAGCGTGTTTGGAGTCTCACGTTTCTCTCTGATTTTTATGATAAACGTCTGTGTGTATCTCAGAAACTTCACATTCCTCAGTTAACATTTGGGGATGTTTTGATAGATGTTGATGTCAGTTATAAAACCGGTTGCATTAGAATTATTTGGAAAATAATGTTCAGTGCTTGGCAAATACAGATGCATTTTTGCACGTATATTTAGCGTGTTTGGAGTCTCACGTTTCTCTCTGATTTTTATGATAAACGTCTGTGTGTATCTCAGAAACTTCACATTCCTCAGTTAACATTTGGGGATGTTTTGATAGATGTTGACGTCAGTTATAAAACCGGTTGCATTAGAATTATTTGGAAAATAATGTTCAGTGCTTGGCAAATACAGATGCATTTTTGTGCTATTATACAAAAGAGAATGTTGTGTTCTATAAAAGTAGAAAAAAAGCCAGAGATAAGTGGAGAGACAATGAGAGACATGAGTAGTGAGAGAAAGAAATTCCTCCCAGTCATGTGGATTAAACTCTGGCAGATTGCTGTGTTTGCATGGCATCCCAGAATGCACAGCAGTGTTTGAAAGGTATCCCAAAATGCTCTGCACCTCGCTCCATTGGCAGCCGATCCTCACGCTAATGGCGGGCTTTACGCGATTAGCAGGATTCTCTCAGTGGACCCATAAATTCAATTTAGCCTGAAATTTGTATTACGTTAAATAAAGCAGTGAAAGAATGATGATTTCCCCTATACATAAATACACACATTTTAGGACATACATAATCACAGTGTTTGTTTTGAAAACTCAGGTTTTCGAGACGTATTTTAGGAGTCAGTACAGGGCATATATCTCAAACTTGCCTGGATTTCAGGGACTTTATTACGCTCTGTGTTGTGGGTATGTTCAGACCGTTTTCATGCTGTGGAATAATACAGGCACAAGTTTACATTGTGAGGTTTGCACGTCCAAAAGCCCCATGCAGTGTCTCAACCACTGCATGGGTTGTAGTGTCTCAACAAACTATATTATCATAGTTTTACACAATAATTCTTTTTATTATGGATTTTTTTTAAGGTTAATAGTCTGAGTCTGGACTTGCGGCAAAGTGTCTCTGATGTGACATTTCATTTGTGCAAAACCAATGTTGACTACAAGCACTAGTATTTTTTTTTCTTTTTTTGCAAATCCAGTTTTGTCTGTGTGTGTGTGAAACGTGTGTGAAACTGACTTTTTTTTCTCATTTCCACGTGCTTTTAATGTACCTTATAAGAATTCTGCACACACAAATACACACACACACACTGTATAATCCAGGTCACTCAATATATCCCGAGTGTGGCAGTCTAAGGTTTCGCCCCGTATTAAATGGCCTGGCCTCAATAGCAAGCCTTTTGCGAGTGATTGAAGGAGGCCAGAGCCCGAATGATGTTCTGAGGGCCCATTAGAAGAATGGAAGGCTCTTTCCTTCAGTGAAACTGGAGCTGCGATAGAAGCGGGGGCCTCAGTTAGAGGCCAGTGGACAATAGAGAGCAAAGCTGCCATGTCAGGTTTCACTCTCTCTGACACCTCCATAATCTGCCACCCTGTCCCATCCGAGGCTCCTGATTGGAGAACTATTGACATCTTGGGGGTGGAGCTAAGAGATTGTATAGGATGTATGAGGCCCTTAAATTACAAGACAGCATGTACTATCAGTACATCCAAAGCCTCATTACACAGATGCCTTAGAGATAGATTGCAGAGGATCATCCTGTAATGACTGTCTACAGATTCTGATTGGCCAGACCAGTGCTGACATGAAAAATGACATGAAAAACAAATCTGAATGGCTTTTCCTGATTCAAATGTTTACCTAAAAGCTTTGTTCACATTCATGCACATATTAAAGGCAAGGCTTAGTAAACCACCATCCTTCAAAAAAGCTGGCATTTCTATAAAACACACGTGTTGATGTTTACTGATGTCATATTTCTCTCTCTCAGTTTGAAGGGTGTAACAAAGCTTTCTCACGGCTGGAGAATCTGAAGATTCACCTGCGGAGTCACACAGGAGAGAAGCCGTACCTGTGCCAGCATCCGGGCTGTCAGAAAGCATTCAGCAACTCCAGCGACAGGGCAAAGCACCAGCGCACACATCTGGACACTGTGAGTAAATGAATACAACCGACCCTAACCTGTCATAGCTGCAACTCAAAAAGAAGTGCCTCAAAACACAAGAATACAAACACTGCTCTTTACTGACACCATCCTAAATATAGAAATCAGCAGTGTTGGGGAAACACAAACTAATAGCCTAGTTTTACTAAATGCTTAATATATTTAAATGTGGCAGTAATTTTCATTGGAAAGACTGTTTTAGTGAATTGTTTCATCTTAAACGGTCCTCTTTCCTCCTATGTAGTGTTGGCAGTCTGATTCATTCTATTGAATCGGTTCTACCTAAATCATCCTCTCTCTATGTAGCACTGAAAAGTTGGCACATTATTACAAATCAGTTCATCCTAAAAGATTCTCACTTTTGTATGTTGATGAAAGTTATATGTATTCTAGTGATCTGGTTCATCATAAATGTATTTTTTCTTATATATTACTGTATAGCATTGGAAACTCTGGTTCATTCTAGTGAATTGGTTCTACCTAAATCATTCTCTCTCTATGTAGCACTGAAAAGTTGTTAAAAAGCAGTTAAATGTTTATTCTAGTGATCTGGTTAATCATAATGGTTCTTTCTTATATAGAATTGGAAACCCATTCCATCATTGTAGTGAATCGGTTCATCCTAAATGTTTTTTTGTGTGTGTCATATATAACATTCAAAACTCTGATTCATTCTAGTGAATCAGAATCAGTCACTTTCATATTTAGAGTTGGAAAGGTTTTTTTTGTTGTTTTTTTTTCAAATGGTTTGTTTCATCCTAAATGATTCTCTGTGATATATAGCACTGGGAACGCTGATTCATTCTAGTGAATCAGGTCATTTAGACAAGTAATGTTAACAAAAAATGCATAAAACAATCTGAGTCTGTGCATAGCATTTTAGATTTTTTTTAGCAGAACATTTTGTTAAATACTACTGTTCTTCAACATTTTTACATATAATTTAGGAGTTTTATATAATATAATTACATACTGTAGGTGCAATGTAGTTTGCTGCTTTTGTTAGTAGCTTTCAGTGTTGCTAACTACTTTTAAAAGATTAACTAGGCTGTATTTTAATTTTAGTATCTTGTCTTTAACAAAACTAAAGAGTGAACCATGGGTGATCCAAGGGCCTTCAAGTTCAGAGCAAAATTCTAAAGCACTCAAGTCCCCAACCAAATGGACCTTACAAACAAACCCATAAATGTGCTATTTGCTACCATTCTTTGACCCAAATGTTAATTTTGCATGCACAAAACAACCATAAGGTTATGTCTCTATGGGTTGACGAGGTGAAACACGTTTTATCATACATCGTTTAACACCATGCTCCGTTTGTGATAGCAATGGCACATGGCAGAGAGAGATATAAAAAGGAATAGAGAGAGAGGTAGGCATGTCTTGCATCCAATCTCCAACAATGTGAGGAAACATAAAAGCCAGGGAAAGCTTGAGTTAGTAATTCCTCACTAACTGGCAGAACCCTGTGCTGTATCACATCGCAGTACAGCTCCCGTGCTGCGCTACCGCCACACTGCCACGGCCAATTAGCCCCCCGACTCCAGATGCCCAGCGCTGCACATTAACTCGCCTGTGCGCCCTGTCACAGCCTTCCCACACGCCTCATATACAGTGAAAAAATCACTCCGACTGTAATGATATTTATTCTTGACAGCCTTTTTTCTTTTTTCCATTCCTAAGCTTTTTCGTTTTCTGTTTTCAGTGCGTTTAGACAGCAGGGGGATTATATGGCATTGCACAGTGAAAACAAATAAATGTGCAGAGACGAGCTGCCCCGCGAGCGGCTTGTAAAAACAGCGTTATTTAGAGAACGAAAGAAGGTAGGAAAAGGGAGCTAATAAAGGAAGCCTATCCACTTTCACTTTAATGACTGCCTCTGTTTTAGAAAAAAGACCAGTGTAAAATGCATGGGAGAAAATCACCTCTGCATGTTTTGGACCGAGTGAGAGTGTTTCAGTAAAGTTTACCACTGAGAATCATGGGTACATTGATATATATCTTAAAATGTACATGTTTAAACACTTTAACGCCGAGAAAATGCAAAATAATATAAAACTGGCATAGTAGTTGTTTACCTGCAAACCAGTAAATGAGTGTTTGTACAGTGCCTGTATGCTTGTCTGACATTTACCGAACAATCTGTATTCTTCTTTTCTTCTTCCTATGTCCTCTCAGCTGAAAGGTAGGATACTGTCTTTCCTCTTAAACTTTGACTATTTATAAACTCTCAAAACAAATAGTGTTAATGCACTTGTGTTTGTCCATTTACACACAGTTTGAAAGTGTAAATATTAAGGCTGAAAAAAAGTAGGCCTATGCAGTGGGTTTCAAAAGTAAATTTTTGTCTGATTTAACACAAATTTAAATGAAGAAAAAACATATCGGTAACACGTTCTAGGAAACCCGTATTTATAATACATTATAAGGGTATTCTTAAGGCATTATAATGAATGCATTATGCATTATAAAAAAACTTATAATATGTTATATCAACTCATGAATAATCATAACAACAGTTATAATACATCATAATACTTATGTATTTGTGGTTATAAGTTTAAGAGTGTGATTATTTATAACACACAATGAACACCATATTAAATCTACTTCATTTACAGAATAATGGACTGTATCATATCTTGCCATTGTTTATTTAAGATCTGCACAGTATCTTACTACAGCTTGTGAGTGGTTAGATGTTGAGTGTTTCCTGTGGAGCTAATGTTAATTAATTGATGTGAGCTTTATAACTCAACTGAAAAAAATGCAATGTTTTATATGGTTACATTTTATTTTAATGGTCCCCTTAATCAATTGACTATAAGCAACTTTGCAACTACATGCCAACTGACTCTCATTAGAGTATTAGTATGCTCAAGAATGGTAGAATCTAGTATGGTAGAATAAGTTGACGTAGTTGCAAAGACACTTATAGTCAGTTTATCTGTTGGTTGACCATCAAAATAAAGTGTTAGCAAATATTTACAGTAGCAGACATACTAATACTCTAATGACTGCTAGTTGATATGTAGTTGCAGAGTCACTTATCAACAGCTGTTTAAAGGGTACCATCAAAATAATCAAACTGATATTACAATAAAAATAGTTCAAAGCAAATTGAAAAGTGTCATATTACACATTCATCTGATCTGATATCTGATCTTATGGCTGTTTGAGAGAAAAAACGTTTATTATTATTATTATTATTATTATTACTAATAAGTGGTCTTTGACCGCTTTAAGTAAAGTAGCATAAGAAAAATGGCAAGATATGAGATTTATAATACATTATAACTATGAGAAATATAATCCATTGTAAAAGTGGATGCAACGTGTTCATTGTGTTATAAATCATCATACTCTTAAAAGCTATAACCACAAATAAGTAAATATTATATTAAATCTGTTCTTATGAATATTCATGAGATGATACAACATATTATAAGGTTTTTTATAATGCATTATGCATTCATTATAATGCCTTAAGAATACCCTTATAATGTATTATAAATACGGGCTTCATAGAAAGTGTTACCAACATATCTGACATTAGTAACCTATATAGTGCAGAATATTAAAGGGGTCATATGACGTTGCTAAAAAGAACATTATTTTGTGTATTTGGTCTAATGCAATGTGTTTATGCGGTTTAAGGTTCAAAAAACACATTATTTTCCAGTGATTTTTACAAAGTTCATCGTTCTAAAAAGCGAGGTGTGCTCTGATTGGCCAGCTATCCAGTGCGTTGTGATTGGCCGAATGCCTCAAGCATGTGACGGAAATGTTACGCCCCTTACCATACTGTGATGCCGTCTCCCAGCAGGACGAGACAAAACCAATAAAACCCATTACAAATGAGGCATTTGTTGCATCCAGTGAGGACATAATTACTTATTATAATGATTTATACTGTCTTTTTACGTGTTGCGTATCGCGCTGTGTAAACATAAAACCATGTCTGCATTTGTGATCGGAGAAACAACAAACAACAAGCCTACTGTACACTGCTCAAAACTCGCGTTTGAATCCTCAGTGGCAAATTATCTAAATATAAAAAACGTACTTACAGGCTGTGAGTCAGAAGCACCAGACTGTCCTTGCAAAGCTGGAACTGCCCAACTTTATAGAAACAGCCTTTGTGCCACAGACGCATTGTA